GAGAGCCTCAGTCAGAGGAGAGCCTCAGTCAGAGAGCCTCAGTCAGTCAGAGGAGAGCCTCAGTCAGTCAGAGGAGAGCCTCAGTCAGTCAGAGGAGAGCCTCAGTCAGTCAGAGAACCTCAGTCAGTCAGTCAGAGAGCCTCAGTCAGTCAGAGAGCCTCAGTCAGTCAGGGGTAGCTTCAGTCAGTCAGAGAACCTCAGTCAGTCAGAGGAGAGCCTCAGTCAGTCAGGGGTAGCCTCAATCAGTCAGAGGAGAGCCTCAGTCAGTCAGGGATAGCTTCAGTCAGTCAGGGGTAGCTTCAGTCAGTCAGGGGAGAGCCACCCCAGTGGATGGCCTCCTTGAGTCCTGGAGGTCAGTGCCAGCATTAAAGACCAACGGACAACAGATTTCAGGGTCCACAGCTCTCTCCTGAGCTGTCACCTCGCTGGTCTGAGGAAAGGCGTGTGCATCTGTAGTCACTGCTCACTAACAAGGATTGCACACCCTTCCAGTATCCTGTCCTCTCGAGGCTCCGTATGGATGCCCCTTTTCTCAGAATAGGCAAGAACCAGGAGCTTCGTGCCTAGGACTGAGTGCCCCTGGGTTGGGATGGCATCCGACCATGCTCCTGGGGCCTACCCGTGGGCTACAAGGACGCGGGACAGTGACACTGGGACAGTCTCCCGTTGACAGGGGAAATCATCACAAGGCAAGCCAGATCTCCAGACAAAGACCCAGGACTCACTTCCCCCAGAAGCACCTAGAAAACTGTTTCTAAGGAAAGAGCCCCGTTACAGCACCTCAAATTTCCACGACTGAACAGAGCAGCTCAGATAGTGACGTCCTTGACAGAAAGCATGCTTTTACTTTCATGAGTATCTCAACACACATTCCTCACCACTATGGCAAATCGTGGGTTCTGTGACTGAAAATTGAGTCATTCCGCTCTGGTGCACATGCTCCTGCTGGCATGAGACCCCAGTGTGTCCCAAGGCTCCGCAGGCTGGCTCAAGCCCTAGGCCTTCCACATGGCTCCGGGGGCACCTGGCACACAGCAGCACATCAGACAAGTGTTCTCCCAGAACTTCTCCAGACACACAGGAGGACAGCACCCTTCCCAGTCAGCTTCAAAGTGTAGCTTTACAAACAGACCTTCCTTTCCCACCTGTGTTGTCTAGCAAAAAAGGGGCAGTAAAAACTAGGATCATGCAGATTTCAAATTATCCAGGTGTGGTGGCACTGTGTGAGCCCTCTGAACACAGAACACATGCTAGGTCTATAATTTTGCTGCACAAAACAGATGTGCATTTTCCTCCATCAGTTTCTGAACATTATAAATACACAGAGTATTTGTCTGTGTTGCATGTTTGACACAATGCCAATTAGCTTTTCTAACTTGGTCAAACAGAACTCAGTGTCTATCTGTGAAGAAATGAAACTGCACAGCATGAAAACCAAGACAGGGATGTATTCTACTAGGCATAACACTGGGAGACTGGAGACGTGATCTGACGGGGCTGCCAGGACAGGGACAGGTTCTGTCAGGGGTGACACTCAGGAGACAGGAGAAGGTTGCAGGGGAAGACTGCGGAGGGTGTCTGGCACCAAGCAAGAGCTGGTGGAGTATTTGAGAGCACTTATTTAATGCTCTGCTAGTTAGTGGTAACAGTAGCCTTATCAAAATCAAAGTTCAGACTGTACGTTTAAAATTTCATAACAAGATACACAGTTATTCTGGAGTTCTTTCATACCTTTTAATATCCTTAACTTTATATGTGGGAGAAGCTACAGACAGTTTGGGAAAAGCACATGCAGCCATTGCCTGCTTCATTCCTCCCACTGCCCACCTGTCTGTGGCCCTGCCCCAGACCCGGTAGCTGAGACCCGGACGGAGGCCACACATGTTTACATACTGTCTGTAGCTATTTGACACAACTGGAGCAGAGCTGTCCTGGGCACCTGCGGTTCTGGCCGTCGATCCCTGCTGGTTCCTCTCCTTCCGCAGAATCTACACCACCTCACTATCCCCCTGCCCGCCAGCACTGGGCACGAGGACACCCTGTTTCGACAAGGGTGACATGTCAGCTGCACTGTGAAGTTAGAATGTCCTCCACACATGGACGTAGCTGAGGAGCTCTCCCCACTGACTACTACTGACCTGGTGAATGCCAGTGCACAGGACGTGGCCTTGTCTACGGATGTGTGTCAGATTCAGGGCAGGCATTTTGAAATGCTGAAGTTAACTCTCTCTTCCTTTAGACCTCTTAAAAAACTAAACCAAGCCAAACAACAAAGGAAC